ATACATATACTTACCGAGATGTCACCCAAGATGGACATATTAGTGTGACTGTCGTCCACGATACATATACTTACCGAGATGTCACCCAAGATGGACATATTAGTGTGACTGTCGTCCACGATACATATACTTACCGAGATGTCACCCAAGATGGACATATTAGTGTGATTGTCGTCCACGATACATATACTTACTGAGATGTCACCCAAGATGGACATATTAGTGTGATTGTCGTCCACGATACATATACTTACTGAGATGTCACCCAAGATGGACATATTATTGTGGCTGTCGTCCAGGATACAAATACTTACCGAGATGTCACCCAAGATGGAGATACTAGTGTGACTGTCGTCCAAGATGCATATATTTACCGAGATGTCATCTGTTAGCTACAATACTTGTCTGTTGTACTCAGATGCCGCCTAAAATACAGAAATACGTGTCTGTCGTTGAGGATCAAATACTTACTTGTTTTTCGAGAATAATTTACATATTGTCTTGGATGTTCCCACGGTTTGCCATGAAAGTCGATCAAGAAACAAAATGATGAAGGAAAGAGTAGAGAAAAAATCAGTTAATTAATGAATTCACTGAAAAAATAACTTGATCGATATAACTGTGGTTTTATTTATAAGAGATTGATCAAATTATTTAACTCTGGTTTTGTTGACGTCAAGGAGGCATATAATTCTTGGTTCTTCTTGTGCCAAAAAAAAAAAAGCTTTTTCTTTTCGATGGGAACATGTAATAAAACCACTAGCTCTGAGAATGCAGAATTATTGGAGATCAATACATGGGCCCTGTCAGAACTACGTTACTGTTTGTACCCGATCGATACAGTGGTGCGAATTATTGAGGGGAGATAGTGGTATTGTATTTCAGAACGTTTTGGGGAGATATCTGAAAGGAGACGAAGAGGTACACGGAATGAAGATGGTAGTAAGGTGTGATTGAAGTTTTGGACTGTGGTTAATGATGGAATAGAAATGTCGGAGAATAATTGAAGGAACTGTTTTCAAACTTTTACTGTTGGCAAAGTAAAGGAATCAGTTTTAAAACAACGTCGTGGTGCAGAAACCACGTATTAAGCCGAGAGCTGATTTTAGTGAGAAAAAAAAATGATTAGAAAACTGGAGAAATACTGTAGGTAATGACTTAGCTAAGAATATGGTGGAAGGATGTTAGTTAGAAGAACGACGCGATAAAGGTAAGTGGTGTCAGAAAACTGGAGTAAAAAGTGCATTCTAACGGAGCACTAAATCTCAGAAGGGTAATGTAGGTTAACACATTGTTTTAGGCGTTTTATTTACTTTCCATGTGTGCCGTGATACTTTGAAGTATCCTCCAGAGTAGTAGCATTTCCGTTTCAACAGGTAGTTCACATTGTTGCAGTTTTTAACTGAATAGTTTCCAGTTAATATATCGTATCACATGTGACAATTTCTAACTGGACAGTTGTGATGAGAATAATCTTAACAGTGCTGTAGAAGAGAGATTTTATTAGGGTTTTAATTGATCAGTCTGTTAAGTCGACCATACTGTTGGTAGCAGCAGTCCAAATAGGATTTTAGGTTGTATCTACAAGTCTAAAGAGGTTATAAGTTCATTGTATTAGGTCACTGGTTAGACCACGTTTATTTTAGGAAAGACATAGATTTCTTGGAAAGGGATCGGAAGAGGGATAATACCCGGCATTCAGTATACGAGAATAGGTTAAGGGATAATACCCGGCATTCAGTATACGAGAATAGGTTAAGGGATAATACCCGGCATTCATTATACGAGAACGGGTTAAGGGATAATACCCGGCATTCAGTTACGAGAACGGGTTAAGGGATAATACCCGGCATTCAGTGTACGAGAACGGGTTAAGGGATAATACCCGGCATTCAGTGTACGAGAACGGGTTAAGGTCTCTGAAGGAGTTAGAGGGGATCCTGACTGAAGACTTAACGAAATTGATAGTTTTGATGGGTCATCTTTTTTTCATGATCTGACTGAGGACTTAACGGAATTGATAGTGTTAATTGGTCATCTTTTTTCATGATCCTGACTGAGGAGTTAACGGAATTGATAGTGTTGATGGGTCATCTTTTTTCATGATCCTGACTGAGGGCTTAACGGAACTGATAGTGTTGATGGGTCATCTTTTTTCATGATCTGCCTGAGGACTTAACGGAACTGATAGTGTTGATGAGTCATCTTTTTTCATGATCTGACTGAGGACTTAACGGGATTGAGTTTGATGGGTCATCTTTTTTCATACTCATTGGTGAGAATGGTAAGACTAAGGGGCACGTACTTTAGTAGGATAGGTGTCATCTTCAGCTAAGACGGCTTTATTTTTCTAACAGGGTGGTTGGCTTTTGGAATGAGTTACCTTCAGATGTGGTGGATGAAGTTAGTTTAAATGAAAGTTTGATAAATATTTGAATTATAAAGTTTTCTTAAAGTTTAATTTAATGAATGGAACGGTTTAAATGTACCAACAGGTCCACTGTTGTACTTAAATTATAAACATAAAGCTTTGAGAATTTTATGTTTTCGGTGAAAGACAGTTATTGCTTAATTACGTTTAGACAAAGTAGGTAAATATGCTGATTAACAATACACTAGACTCAAAATGGGAACAATAACCAACACTCCAATAAATCGTGAATCGGACAAGTTAGGCTTAAAACACAGTAACAAGTACATGGTAACGTCCTTGACTGTTAGAAAATATCTCTGTCGTTCTACAAGTTGCGCATTCTGAGATCCTCTGCACTTTGCCATCACCCCCCACCCGGACCCTAATGACTCAGCGGTAAGTTAACTTTGCGCTTAACAACAAAAACAAACAAGCAAGCAAGCTGATAGGGATTATCCGTCTAGTTCTCTAAGTAACGTTTTCTGGTGTTTCAGCTGATAGTTGAAGAGCTATAAAACTTCTTTAAATAAAAAAACTTGGATATTATAAAATAACAGTTTCCTTAAGTTCATACGTTTAGTTCTTTCGGTGAAGTTAGCCCCCCCCCCCCACACACACACACACACAACATCACAACAGAAATGACTTCACGAAACTTGTTATATAGACAAAAGATCACGGGGGAAGTCTGGCCAAATTGTTTAGCCTTACAGGAAGATTTTCGTTCGTTAATCTGTAATAATTTCATCAAACTTGATTTAGACGACTTTAACTGGGAAAACCCCGTCTGGCGGGCAACTTTTCTTAATTTTATATGTTAACCGAGAGATAAGGAAATCGCTTTCCAGAAATGAGCTTTTGCAAGTCATTATAAATGGCGACGAAAGGCAGTTTAACAAACGTTGATTTTTTTGTTTTTTTTTTGCGTCTCAGGTATTTGTGCTACTAAGAATATCAAGTTTTCATTTATTTATTTTGGGGGAGAAGGGGTGAACGTAAAAGTTGTTTTTTTTCTTTGTCTCTATGAAGTGAGTAGGCTGTCAGTGTCACTGCTACAAGTAATCTCGACAAAAGTCCATGTCGCTGCTACAAGTAATCTCGACAAAAGTCCAGTGTCGCTGCTACAAGTAATCTCGACAAAAGTCCGTGTCGCTGCTACAAGTAATCTCGACAAAAGTCCGTGTCGCTGCTACAAGTAATCTCGACAAAAGTCCGTGTCGCTGCTACAAGTAATCTCGACAAAAGTCCGTGTCGCTGCTACAAGTAATCTCGACAAAAGTCCGTGTCGCTGCTACAAGTAATCTCGTCAAAAGTCCAGGTCGCTGCTACAAGTAATCTCGACAAAAGTCCAGGTCGCTTCTACAAGTAATCTCGACAAAAGTCCAGGTCGCTTCTACAAGTAATCTCGACAAAAGTCCAGGTCGCTTCTACAAGTAATCTCGACAAAAGTCCATGTCGCTGCTACAAGTAATCTCGACAAAAGTCCATGTCGCTGCTACAAGTAATCTCGACAAAAGTCCAAATGATCTATGCGACTAACGATTGAGCGCTGGTTTTTTTCAACTTACGATGGACTGATGGACTCGTGAAATTTGTTTCTTATCTTTTTTCATTGATAATCACTCCTTCCACTGACCTGAAGTGTATACTGTCGACTCCTGACGACCATGCTGTTGGTTCTGTGTTAGTCAGGATTCCAACATTTTTAATAGATCTAGCAATCTGTACTTCCATCTCAACACTCACAACCTGGGAGGCACGGGTTCGAATCGTCATTACCGAACATGTTCGTCCTTTCAGCGTTATAATGGGCTGGTCAATCCCACTGTTCGTTTGTAAAAGAGTAGCCCAAGAGTTGGTGGTGGATGGTGTTGCTAGCTGCCTTCCCTCTAATTTATCGTGGCTAAATTAGGGACGGTTAGCGCAGATAGCCCTCGTGTAGCCTTGCGCGAAATTCAAAATAAACCACAAACCATCCCAACACCAGATAGCATTGTCACACAGTT